TTCCAATATGTTCTTTGTGGTGATGCACAGATATATATATGTATATGCATATATATATGTATCTTTCAATTTAAACTTCAGTTCACACTGCCATGTTACAAACTCTTTTGGATTCTAGAACTATACAGAAAAAGCACAAGAAAATATTATGGAAGATATTTTCTTTTCTTGCTTCTTCTGAAATTGAAATTCATTCAGTTTTCTAGCCCTGTCCTTTCTATTCTTTTTGCTAGAGATCAAAAGAAACAAGAGAGATTTAGATTCCAAATAATACATAGTGAATGGTAGGACTGTCTTGTCTGAACAGATTTCTCTGTAATTTTTTGGTCTTAATGTATGATTCCATAATAATATGATCCTATGCTATTGATGTTTCATTCCTCAGCTTCATCCTTGATCCTGTGTCTATAACACCTGCAGCATGGTTATTTCAGAGCTGGGAATTTCTGATGTTTCAACACAGTATAGTCATCAAAACTGTTCTCCTGTGGCTGCTTTTGTTTTCTGGAAGTGCTGGATCTTGTCTTGAAGTTCCTGCAAATACAAGAGGTACTAAAAGACATACTTCTAGGCTCTGTGGTAAAAAGACAGTCCTTGACCTAAAATACAACGGTTATTATCATAGGAGGTTTTGGCAATTGTTCACAGATATCTACCTTTCTATTGCCCTCTCACAGTTCAGGAAGATTGTTAAGGCACTAAAAGTGGTACTTGCAGTGTCTATGGATATATGCTGCATATGCTCAGTGGATGGGAGCCTTGGGCCAACCAGTATTAATTGAAGCAGCTCCATTGACTTTGGTTGAATGCCAATAAAAGGGAGCTTTGATTTCCAGGGCTGTTACTTACTCGTGTTGAAGCTAGACTAATGTCTTGATTTCTGTGGGGGTGTGCTAATTTGCTGGCTGCATCTAATGACCCTGACAGCTCCTGAACCCACACACAGGATCATGAAAAAAAGAATTTGCACTGTCACTTTCTGAGGAGTTCTGTACCTCCTCTAATGACTATGTCCTAATTAACTGTTGTAATTATAACCATAGTTTTGACACTCCTGTGATGTATAACAACTTTTAGGGTGAGCCAAAAGTACATAGTGTTCTTCCCTTGAAAGAGGGAGTGTGTGCAGATGCATTATTGATGAGGAGTTCTATAACAGTCCAGGTTGAGTCTCCTCAGGACAGTCTTCTATTTCTATGAAAAACAAAAGCTGGTCTTATGACTACTCTCTTGCATTCTCTACGTAACTAAGAAATATGCATATAATTTATTGACAGGACATTGGAATATCTGCATAAAGAGTAATTCAAGACCTTCAGAGTTCCCTTTCAATCAGCATTTCTACAACTGTTATTTAATAACATGAATATGGAAGTTGTGGAATGACTGTGTGTTTAGAAAATCTCTAAGACACATTTGATCATTTGACTCATGCCACCAGAATGAGTCAAGGCTAACTCTACCTTTTGAATCTCATACATAATTAATGTAGTGCCAAATCTTAATCAGATAACACAAAAATACTCTATATTCTATAAATATCCTCCTTAATACTTTAGTCAATATTATTTATTGATTTCTGAACTGAAACACAATGTAACCTTTCTTTGTAATCTCGCACAGCTGCTGTATTCTCCTGAGCACTGGCTGTTTCACAAAGGTGGGCAAAATGTCTTTATTGCCAAGCTCAGCTCTGTTTCATGTAAATGCAATACCTGTAAAATCTTCACTGCTCATTCTAGGCCATCATTTCATCCCATCCCATCTGTTCGCCTACTTTTATGAAATGCTTTTAATCTCAGAAAAATATGTTGCCTATAGTAATCCTTTCTTGGTAATTACTGCCTATAGTGATCCTTCCTTGGTAATTACTGCCCTTCAGGTATTGTACGGCAATACCTAGATCTTCTAGTTTCTCACAAGTAAGTACTGTGTCAGACAGTCACTCTGCTGTTGGGAAATGCTTTTAGGATGACAGTGCTCCCTCTCATTCAGTGCTCTCTGTGGTTACTCCACCTGTGCATAATGACAATGAGCTGGAGCATCAGGCCCAGAGCCAGTCGATGGAGACAATGCCAACCCTCCAGGAGCTTATTGAGATATTCATTTTATACGCTGCTGCCAGAGAATAACGAGCAGGAGGAGATTATGGATCAGACGTGCTGCTTATCTAGTCATTAAAGGACAGTCATCATGAAGGTCCTTTCATTTATGCAATGTACTAGGTCTGGACAACATCTGGTTCTGCCTCCCTTAGCCCCCATGGAGCAGTCAGGAAAGATTTGAGGAAATTTCCTGGCTACACTGTTCAGCCCAGCTGCCCTCTCTAAACATAGACAGCTGTCCTGACTCTGTCTGGGGTTTATTGCTTGATCTTTTCTGGTCCTATTATTTGGGCCACTTCAATTTGTAAAGAATTACATCCTTTTCCATTCAAGATGGTTAACAAATGTAGGATGTTCTATACTGCTTTGTCAACCTTCCTGCCCCTGCATGGAACTTGAGCTAATTTATTTTTGGGAGACTTGGTATGTCTTGGAAGAGGTTCTGTCAGTGAACTAGTGGCTAGAACCAGTTTTAATTCTGCATATTTCTGACTTTTCACAGAAGCTCTCAAAGAACAATCACAATCTCATGTGACGCAAACCAGAGCAAGACCTTAAAAAGGGCAGCCATAAATATACTGCTAGATTTATGCACAATTCCAAAATTGTAATCCATGCTTATACCTCATTGCTTTTGTAAATATAGGTGCACCAAAGACTGCTTGTGACAACTGCTATAGAGTGAGTTCACATTGACATTCACGTTAGCAGTCCAAGGGACAGATTATTGTGGTTTCTTTTAGTTTACTTGTACCTCCTGTCAGCAAGACTCTGTGTGTTACAGACAGGACACAATATACCTCTTGACTGGAAAAGTTCTGCCAGCAGAAGACACTTTGTAAAACGCAAAACTATTTCAGAAAACTGTACTATTATCAGAAAGGATCACTTCACTAAAGATCTACATATTATGATTTCTGCTGGGTTAATCACAGCCACAGTTGTGGGAGACTAACTCTGTCAGTTTAAGCCGGCTGACAAGATTATCCCTGAAAACAATAGAGAGATAAACAGCTTTTAAGATATCCCTTCTATCCCAAAATAGGTGGAGGGGGAAAAGGAAAACTTCCTTTTTCTTCACACCACAGTGGGAGTTTAGAAATTTTAAAGTTAAAATCGAGACGCATTTGATCCAAGATGGGTTTGGGCCTGGACATGCTTTGACAGTGTAGGTGGCTGGTCATTGCTATATTGGTGAAAATTTCTCTAGATACATACACTTTTTGAGTAAGAAACTTTCAAGGTACAAAGTGAGGCAAGAGAATAACGTGGCAAAATCCACCTCTAAACCACAAACTGCTTCCAAAAAACACAAGAGAGTTGCTTCGTTAAAGATTTCCTCAGGATTTTAGTAAGTTTAGTAAGAATAAGAACCCTTTCTTCTACCCACCAAAACACACAACCTAATGAGCTACTCTAAAGGGCAGCAGGAGCCACTTCAGATGTTTTTGAGGAGTTCTGCTATTATACCTGAAAAGAGGAACTATGCAAGAGTGCCAGGAGGGATGGGCATGGTATGGTTAAAAGATCAGAACTGAATGGTGGGATTAAATGAGTTGCTTTGATAATGGAGGGAGGTAACGAACAGGATTCTGTAGGAAACTGCTGCTGAACACATCCATTAGTGACCTAGAAAAAGTACTAACAAAAGTTAGTAGGCTAACAAAATTTGCTGCTGATATAAAACTATTCCAGAGCAATAAGGACAAAGACCAATTGTGAAGAACTAGAAAAACACTTCACAAGACTGAGTCAGAAATAAAATCACAGAATAAATTCACAGTGGGTAAATGTGAAGTGAAGGGGGAGAAGAATGTAAAGGTGGATGCCTGAAAAATCAGGTGAGTTCTCATCAAACCATTACGACTCAAGTGAGAACTTGAGAACAGCAACAGTTCCATGAAAACATCAGCTCAGAGATCAACAGTAATCAAAAATGTTAAATCAAATGCTAAGAATCATTAGGAAATAAAGAGAAAGCAAAGCAGATCATTAGGACACTGTATAAATTTATGATTCTCCCAGACTCTGAATACCATGAATGATTCTGCCACTCAGTATACAAAAAGGATATATTATTAATAGAAAAGCTACCAAGAAGGGCAATGAGGACAATTAAAGACATGGATTGACTTCCATGCAAAATATAATTGCATTGACTAGGTGTTCTCATCCTGGAAAAAAATATGAGGGTTAGGGTTAGGGTTTTTTTAAATTAAGACTTGGAACTCCAGTCAGTTTTGAAACTGCCTCCTAGACCTTACTTTCCAGCACAGTATGACAGTCCACATTTTTCTCCTGGAATGCTCTTTCACCCTTTCAGACACTGAAAATTGGGTTGCAATTTTTTTCTTTTAATTCATTTAAACAAATTAATGATATTTCCAAGGTTATCTTACTGTCTGTGTACATAGGAATATCTCTTTGCATTGCAAGACTAATATAAGCTTACAAAATTATAGTGGAAGGAAGGGAGAAACAGTTGAACCCTGTGACTACAAAAGCAGGAGTCTAAAGTGCAGTAATAAGAACCATTTTAAATGGGGAAACTAATATCCATCTTTTCATAGAAATTTTCCATTAAATTATGATTCAGGATTTTTTAAGGCATATGTATGCAACAATACTAAATGGACATTTTTAGGTTCTTTTTATCTCTCCACTTGCTTTTGTGCATATTTGAGAAGAGTCTGGGAATTTTTGATTTTGGATTTGCAAATTCTACACTAGTAATTAATGACGTGTTACAGATTTTGACATTCTATTTTATCTTTTTACTGATCTAGCAGAAGATTCTCCTGGCAAACTACATAAACATATGTGCTTGGTGGGATAAAGTTTTTCACTAGGTCTTGAGAAACAAAAAAGTCTGAAATCCCAGAGCTTGGACCTTACCTGTATGTATATCTGCAGGACACAGTAGCTTTTATCAGAGCAACTGGAGGCACTGAAGAAGATCAGATCTCAAACTACACAGAGGAGTAAAAACGGTCTTCAAGAAGGGCAGCTGATGACAGGAGAGTTCTAGAAGTATTTCACACCAAGAATTCGAATCAGTGGATATACGAGAAAATTTGTAGCCAGCAAGGCTGCCAAAACCTATGAAGAAAATGAACAACCAAATGGAGAATGAGTCTGGGGGACAGCACAAAATATGGAGACTGTAACATAAGTGATTGGCATTTTCCCCTGGCCACCTCACCTGTCACAGCAGTTTTCATGACCTCTGTGGAAAAAGACCATCAGAACAGTTTCCTCCTCTGGAACCAAGTCTCCAGGAAGCAGGAAATATGATTGAAGAGATCTTCTCTAATCCATTGCAGAACCTGCTCACACCGCCTCTCTTGGACCTGCCATCTGTACAGGCACGGTGTTCTGGCTGTGACACTGGGAGCAAAAACAGAAGCAGCGTTTGAGTGTGGAGTGTGTTTGTAGCCATGGGAGGCATCAGAGAAAATTGTGGCCTCGTAGAGGGGCTTTTTAAAATGTGAAAGGCCAGACAGGTCACATTGGCTTAGCTCAGAGGTGAGGTCTGGCTTGTTTTCCTTAAAAAGGGTGATTTCTTTTTTTCATTCTTTTAATATTATCAGTATTTTTTAATCTCAGGCATTTTCTTTTTTCTTTCTTGTGGTATTTAATCAAGCAGAAGAGAGGCGGCATGGAAAAAAAAGGTGGCACAGGAAACTGACTAACAGGTTCTTTTAGTCTTTAAGAAACACTGAAAAAATCCCTATTCAGAAGACCTAAAAGTGCTTTTGAAGCTCTGACATCACATGACATTCAAACAGACATAATAGATTAATTGAATCCCTTGATTTTCATGTTCCATTAAAAAAAAAAAAAAAAGAAAAAAAGAAAGAAAAAAGGAAAAGAGAAAAAGAAAAAGAAAAAGAAAAAGAAAAAGAAAAAGAAAAAGAAAAAGAAAAAGAAAAAGAAAAAGAAAAAGAAAAAGAAAACTCAACATCATCTCAATGTTCACTGGTCACTTTGGCATTACTGTTCCTTCGTCCTGGTTTGAGGAAAAATCTCTGGTCATCTACAAATCTAAGATGACTACTGAAGAGGCTGGTTGCAGTTTTCTCCCAGGTTCAGTAAAACAGCTTTGATTGTTTCTGTAAGGTATGCAGACTCCTTATTGAGTGCCTAACTTTGTCTCCACAAACACTACAATGTCTCAGTTGAAGAGACCACTAACCTTTTCAGGTCAGGACCCATCAAATATTGTGATATGCCAGCTGCCTCTGAAATTGATGGGGTGAATGCACGCACTGTACGTTAGCTAACGATGACACAGTTTAAATCAAGCCCTGTACATAAGAATGATCCCACAAAAGTTTATCAAATCTCAAAAAGCTCCAACATATCTAATCTCAGTAACTGTGAAAACTAGTGGGGAGGAAAAGACACCTCCAGAAAACAACTTAATTCTGAAATATCATCCTTAGAGCAAACAATTAGGAGCCATCCCTTGGATAGCCCTCACCTTTCCTCTTTCCAAGGGACCTTGGATGACACTCTTAGACGAGATATTGGAGTTCTAGATATATATAAATGATAGAAGATGAATCACATCTTTTTCATTTCCTTTCCCCTTTACAAGATAGGAGCTTGTCCCTTCTGGAATATATCTTTAGAGCACACATGCTGCCTTGCCAACCGTCTGTTGTCAAGATCCTCTGTGCAAACACGCTTGGCTGCATTTCTTTGCAGGGCAGCAGGACTAAAGGCAGAGGGCAGGTCTTCTCCACTTTAACAGCAGCATTGCACATCAGGGAGCAGCGCACGTCCCCCTTTGGCAGCAAGTTAATGTTGATTTATTATGCAGATGGGAACTGCCTCTCACTCCTAGCAAGAATACAATTATTTTTATTTTTCCTACAAACATCTATTCTCCTCCTTTTTTCTGTCTTCCACCCTCCTCTGGCATCATTCCAGCACTTGACAAACAAGTGTGTTCTGTGCTTGTTTGGGTAGCTTTCAACAACTTCATTAGGTTTCTGAGCAAGCACACTTCCCAGGCTGCACTCCTGATTTCTGTGAAGAGATGATGGTGACACTATCATGCTACCTTCAGTCTTTCAGGCTATCATCTCTCATACTTAGGGAGAAGGACAAAATGAGCTCAAAGAAGATGTAAATAAATATGGTTTGAGATTTACCCTTCTCCAATTGTAACTTTTCCATTTTTTCTTTTTCTCCATTTACAGAATTTTCCGTTGGATCAAATACACAGAACGTTTCTGCGACCTGGCTACAAAGTACCACCAGGAGCAGCACGAGGTAGATTTAAATAGCCAAGTGAAATTGACCTTTTAATGTTAACACACATAGCTCTGGGATGACTTTAATCCTCCTGAGATGTTTGAGAAAAAACAATGTTTCTCCCCTTTCAAGAAGTACCTATGACAAACGTAGGTACAGTCAGGATGTGAGGCCAAGGCAAGGGAGATTATATAAATTTTGAGACAACAATGTCACATTGTTTTAAAGATAACTGATGAAAATTTTGTAGCAGCTTTTCAGCATGTCCCGTGTGGGAAATTGAGGTCCTGAGAAGCTGAATCTTTCCATAGCCAGATTATACTAATGTTAAGGGCTGCTATAAAAAACACTTATTCAGCTGTAGTTTGCTCCCACCACCCAGCAAGACAGCTTCTGTCAGCCTTGTCCTAGATATTCTTGTATAAAACTTGCAATGAGTCATAGGAATTCATGAGAAAACCGCAAAGGTCTTCCACAGAGGGGGGCACTTTTACTATCCAAACAGTTTCCTGTTGTCATACAACTTTTATACCATCTCTGTTGCTTCCAGTCAAGGTTTTCTCTCTTGTCTTTTCCCTTGCCAAATGAAAACTTTCCCATTTGTCTGAAGTGGTGGGAGTCTGGAGAAGAGGAACCATGGAAATCATGCATTCCCAGTTTATATGTTCCTGGCAGGCTTATTTTTTCAAGCACCTCTTCCTCATATTTCTCTGAAATTCATTGTTGAGATTTCCTACTTATTGCCAGTGACAGCTGCAGTTATTAAATAGGATGAGTATGATCCTTAGTTCATGGAAATCAACACAGCCCACAAAACTTATAAAATGGGCAGTGTTTTTGTCAGCTTCAAACAAATATCAATTAGTCACTCCAGCTTCTAAGGACTGAGTTACTCAGAAATCTCATCCAGTAATCCTTACAATAAGCCAAATAGCCAATAGCTTTACAGAGGTTCATGGCCTGGCCTTACTGACATGCTTTGCAATACAAGCATTGTATTTACCAACCAGGTAATTAGAGAGCTCATGACCAGCTTTCAAATGTTGTGGTTCCTCCAAAGAGAAGCAGGAAGAGGAATGATTACCCACATACTGCACCATTTTGGTTGTGGATCATGGAGTTACATGTTGTTTCCCATAACCTGCTAGGCCAGAGGATATACTAGTTTTTTATTTGTCACAGCCATAATAAAGTAGCTTGCAGAAGATGGAACCAGGAACCCAATCACTGGAAATGCCTTCCTGGCAATGGTCAGTCATTGCAAACCAGTATCTACTCAGCAGCAGCAGCTTTTTGTTCCTTTTATTCATATAGTTTGACTGAATCACTCTCCCAGAAAAGTGACTGATTTGCACTGAAGTAACCCTTTTCCTCCTGAGAGGTGTCAGAGAGTCATTATCAGTCAAATTCCTTGTCTTTGCTTTAGCATAATTTGGCTTGGCTCCTGTCTGCCTTGCCACAGCTGTGACAGAGGATGTCTGTCTGCAGTACTCAATTGATTCTGGTCTCTTTTTCTCTGGGTTAGATAGTGTAACGCCTCAGCTTTCCCATTGCCTGACTTGAGGGAATCTATCTAGAGCAAGTTGGCACAATCTCTGTCTTAGTGGAAAAGCGGGTGCCAGCTCTTCCAAACTTCAGGCTGAACTTAACACTCATTGCAATTTAGGAGTCAACCCTCATAGTCCTCAGGGCAACCCAAGGGAGAACTCATTCCCGGAGTCTCCTCAAGAATCCTTATGACCATGATGAGAGGGAACATCCACATCCCACCCTCTGAGCTGATATGGCTTTATCAAGATGCCCCTATTCCTTCCCCACAAGCTCCTCCGCATCCATTAATGCAGACTAAGTTCTACTTTCAGTACTTATATGGTCCCTGCTGCCGAGAGATAGATTCGTTGTTCTGAATCTGATGGAAATTTTTAGTACTCCTCAGAAAACAGTGCCAGCTGGAATATTCACTCTCTGTGTGTCCAGAAAGCAGCATTTTCCATTTCCTCAGTAAAATCCTTTTGGCTACAGCAAGTGCTGCAGAAACCAACACACACATGCAAATGAGGAATGAGAGAGATCCTGCAGATTGGAGTTGCAAATTTGAGGACAAGAAACAAAATCAGAGGCTTCAGAAGATGAGGTTCGTCTCCTCCAGGTGTCAGTCAGGTCACTGTCTCTCAATTTAGTGATGTTATGCAGCAATAATATATATGATCTGTGCAGCCAGGCTTTGCAAGCAGCACTCTCCCCTTTATCAGGCAACTGCTTTTCTTGGTGCAGGCTCGTGGATTTGCAATAGTATCTATGAAAACAATCTTGTTTTGGAAAAACTTTTGGAGTAATAGATTTGAGGCTTTATGGATATAATACTCAGCCAATTCTCAGTTGTTGACAGAAATAACTAATTACATCATTTGCATATATCTGTAACCCATGGTTTGTCATTTCCTGTTTCCTATTTTAGAAAATCAAAAGTCCCTGATTTGGGGCCAGATTCTCAACCCTTTTGTTACTGAAGATACACTGATTTGCACTAGTTAAGAACATGGCGTTCAGATTTTATGGAGTTTGGAGGATTTTTTTATGCTTTTGGCTTCCTGAGTAAAATATATTTTGTCAAATAACAACCTGGGAGTGAGATATATCCTTACTGATAGTCATACTTAGGCATAATAAGCCATCCGGCATTCTGAGCTCCCTGTGCTCTTGCACGTAAATGCGAAGAACCTGGAAAATGCCCAGTATGTTGCATTTTGGTATTCACTGGTGGAGCTGGTGACCCACATAGAGAAAACTGGAATCCAGGGCAATGACCCTAATAGCCAAGCCATTTTTTCAGCATAGTTTAGTTCTGACTGAGACAGACACTATTCTGCTTCTGCAGAATAGATGACACTGAAGATCTAGGTCCCAGATTTTCCCAAGCTGTGCAAGATCCTCAGATGTTGGAGATCAGAGCCAGCTTAAGCAACGCGCTATAAACCTGGCTGGATATCGTGGGCATATGAAGTCTCTCAGTCATCAACTACTGCTAGAGCTTTACACTTACAGCTCTTAAGTATCCAAGAATTTTGTCTACACCTCCTGGTGGGCTTGTGCCCTTGTCTACTTCAGCTTCCCAGATACAAACTCATTATATTAGCATACCTCTATTGTGCAAGGATAATTTAAGGATCCCTTCAGTAATGCAGGGTGGTGTAAGATGCTTGAACCCATGCAAGGGCCAATGGGGCAGTGAGATTAACATCAGCTCCTGCAGACCAACAAGACTTGAAGATCTCACCAAAAAAAAAACAGCAGCGTGAGCAAGGAAACTCTGCTCAGATACCTGCTTAGCCATGCCTGTCTCTCAGTGTGGGTAGTAACCTGAGAGAGATAAATTCGTACTCCAAAAGCTTGAGAAAACAACTTGATGAGCTTGTCTGTGTCAG